CTTAGTTTGACTGGAAATATTTACCTTAGACACCTTTAATAATAACTGATGTTCGCATTTTATTAGTAAATTTAAATTCATCTTGCTAAATTTACATTCACCTTACAAGGTTTATAAAACCACTGCGGTAATAAAATCTTGCTCAGATTTGATGATGGTTGGCTGACATAGCTGTGACAAGCCAAACACAGCCTAGATACCAGGAAGGTATCAAAAGGTCGACTTTCTGATTCACTCTGATGAGATGAATCACAGAACTGCTGGAGATGGACGCCATTGCAGGCGAGTTCTCAAACTCACAGACCAGTATGCTAATAGTTCTGTGATTTGTTTGCAATGGTGCTACAACGATATTGTGAGTTCTAGTAAAATAATTCAATTAAAATTTATTCTTTGTAAAACTTATTATCACATTCTTCACTTTATTCATGCCTTCCCACTGGCGTGCTTTGTTTGCATGCTGCTGCATTACGAGCATGTCTGTGTCTGAGCTCTCATTACTAAGATGTCTGTGTTGACAGTGCTCATTACTTGAAACTGTCGTTTCAGCATGCTGCATTCTGAGCATGTCTGTGTCTGCACTGCTGCTTTATGAGCATGTCTGTGTCTGCAGCTGCTGCATTACTGAGCATGTCTGTGTCTGCAGCTGCTGCATTACTGAGCATGTCTGTGTCTGCAGCTGCTGCATTACTGAGCATGTCTGTGTCTGCAGCTGCTGCATTACTGAGCATGTCTGTGTCCTGCCTTACAAACTTAACTTTGTTTTTCAAGGTTTATGTTTCTCATCCTTGCTTCTTCTCTCACACAGTTCGCAGGAAACTTTTTTTAAAGTCCAATTTCCATGTACTTCAGTGTACGGCAAGATTCGTCAGGAAACAGGACGAGTGTTTCCTGACGCGGGTCTTAGTTATATGATGACCCGCAGCTGATGTTTTGGTCATCTGGCCGAGGCCTTCCACTGGCTTGCCTGTCTGCCCTTTAAAAATTGAAATTATGGTTTTGCTTTAAACCTCTTCCTTAAACCTGCTAATTTTTTTCGGTCTTTCTATCTCTCTCTCTCTTGTTTCTCAGCTGTCTTTTTCTGTACATCCTTTAGTATCTTTCTAGTATCAAGTATCGTTACCTTCACTAAATGTTCGCTTCCCTTTTCACTTTCACTCACTAAAAATTCCCTTTAAACACAAAACTTGTACGTCTGGCAGCGTGTTCTCAGGTAGTTATCTGGGTCGCTGGAGTCAAGTTGACCTCGCCTTTGATAGTTTATCACAGCTATTGTGATTTCACGATATTCAGAAAGAATATGACATAAGAAGACGGAAGCACTACAGTAGGCCTACTGACCCGTGCCACAACGCTCAGAGTTGCCTGGCAAGTGATTCACGTGTGTGTATGTGTGTGTGTGTGTGTGTGTGCGTGTGTGTGTGTGCGTGTGTGTGCGTGCGTGTGTGTGTTGCGTGTGTGTGCGTGTGTGTGTGCGTGTGTGTGTGTGCGTGTGTGTGGGTGCGTGTGTGTGGGTGCATGTACATACACACTTAACGTATGAGCAGAAATTCTCTCCTGGGGGGTGAAACGTTGCCTTAATAAAATCTATCAGTGTTTGAAGTGTGCTTGTGATGTACATCTGACATGTACACCCCGCGGTGTACACACTCAGCAGGTGCTGCTGCTGCTGCTGCTGCTGCTGCTGCTGCTGCTGTTTCAGAGCGCAGTGATGTACACTGAATGTTAAATATCGAGTGATTTGTTTACTGATAGAATGATGTAGTCAGGGTTGGTTACTGTCAAGGTGATCTGTGTATCATACTGTCAAGGTGATCTGTGTATCATACTGTCAAGGTGATCTGTGTATCATACTGTCAAGGTGATCTGTGTATCATACTGTCAAGGTGATCTGTGTATCATACTGTCAAGGTGATCTGTGTATCATACTGTCAAGGTGATCTGTGTATCGTATGTGTGTGTGTCTATGTGTACGCGCGCCCACGCGTGCGCGCGTGTGATTACGTGCGTGTACGATGAACGTGGGCTTGATAACAGAGATTTCACTGATGGTCAACCTTAGTGTGATAAAGTGAACGGAGGTAAAAGTGCCGTAGTAATGGAAAAAGATTTATTGACCCGTCACATTCCATTTCAGTTGATGACTCATATGGGTTTGATGCGGCGGTCATTGCATATATATATATCACTTACCTTATGGAAATGCAGATTAACTTGAGGGGAAATAGATAACGAATATACGAGCCATTTGCCTGGGTATTGAAGCCTAAATCATTTTCCATTTTGGCTAATAATATTATTAGTCATATAAATGCAAATTCGTGACAGTCGTGTGCGTGCGTGCGTGCGTGTGTGTGGATGTATTGTATGACAGAAGTGAATCTCACACTGAAGAATGTCTCACTCTCCACCTGAAATATACACTGCTCGTTTCTATAGCTATTTAGTCCACATGTGGGTTTGTGGCAATGGCTAGTACTGATTGTGCTTCGTGGACAGCGTTGTACGACCCTAATGGGTTTAGCGCTTAGTTGTAATTGTAATAATAATAACTGTGCTTTGTGGCATATAAAATCACAAGAGCAGAGGAGCACTGCAGTAGGCCTACTGCCTCAGGCTAGTAAGCCTACTGTCTCGTGCTAGGCAGGTCTTGTTCACACCCAACCATTCCTACCTATCTGCCTGTCACTTTAATGGGACTAATTGGCAGTTTGTAGCACTCACCTACTTGCTTATTGCCACACCAGTGCTGCTTATGTCATCTCTAAATCTAACTATTTTTTAGCACTTTATTTATACCCACCATATATTACCTCTAAATTTATTCAACCTGAATCCGAGTTCCGTCTTGGTTAGATATTTTCATCACTTTATATTCTCTTTATTTATTACACTTTTCCCTATGTACACTTTAATCATATCTCCTCTCCAGAGAGTGTAAGCTCAGTACTTTCTGTTTTTCTTCGTATTAGAAGTTTGTTACAGATTACCATACATATAGAGGCCAAAACTGAGAAGCATAAACCAGATAACGCTTTACCACTGATATGTAAAACTGAAGTATAAGAATAATACTTCTGTTATCATTACTTAAGAATATAAAATTTATTAACTTTATTACAAAAAAAAAATATGCATTGTTTTCTTGGTTATATATTACTGTTAAGAAAGAAATCCTAACTGTTTTTCTCGTATTTAGTTTATGCACTTTAAGCTGCATCCGTTGCTATTTCCCATCACAACATAAGCCTGTCTAAAGCATCCTTTAGCTTCTTTTCTGTTTTTGAGGCATCGGCAGAGGTGCCCAGATATGAGAGTTTAGATGCTACTCCAAACAGCCAATATCCCAAACTCCTCCTTTGAAGTGCAGGCATTGTACTTCCTGCTTCCAGGACTCAAGTCGGGCTAACCGGTTTCCCTGAATCCCTTCACAAAATATTATCCTGCTCACACTCCAACAGCTCGCCAGGTCCCAGAAACCATTCGTCTTCATTCACTCCTATCTAACACGCTCACACATGTCTGCTGTATGGCCAAGCCCCTTGCACATAAAACCTCTTTTACCCCCTTCCTCCATCTTTTCCTAGAACGACCCCTACCCCCCTTCTTCCCTATACTATTGATTTATACACCTTCCAAGTCATTCTATTTTGCTCCATCATCTTTAAATGACCAAACCACCTCAACAACCCCTCCTCAGCCTTCTGACTAATACTTTTAATAACTGCACACCTCCTCCTAATTTCCATACTACGAATTCTTTGCATAATATTTACACCACACATTGCCTTTAGACAAGACATATCCATTCCTCCAGCCGCCTCCTCGCTGCAGCATTTACAACCCAAGCTTCACACCCATATAAGAGTTTGGGTACCACTGTACTCTCGTACATTCCCTTCTTTGCCTCCATGGATAACGTTCTTTGTCTCCACAGATACTTCCAATGCACCACTCACCTTATTTTCTTTCATCAGTTCTGTGGTTTACCTCGTCCTTCATAAACCCATCTGCTGATAAGTCAACTCCCATATATCTGAACACATTCACTTCTTCCATACTCCCTCCCTCCAATGTGATATCCATTTTTTCTTTTCCTAACTTGTTTGATACCCTCATCACCTTCTCTTATCTACGTTCACTTTCAACTTTCTACCTTTACACATCCTCTCAAAACTCTTCCACTAACCTTTACAACTTCTCTTTAGAATCTCCCAAAAGCATAGTATCATCAGGAAAAAGTAATTGCCAACTCCCATTTTGTATTTGATTTCCCATAATTTAATCCAACCTCTCTCCCTTAATATTATATACTTGAAATAACCTTTTGGATTTATTCCATCGTAGCTTTAATCCCTAATTTTTGGCATTTTCTTATCTTTTATTTTTGGTTCTCTCTCTCTCGTGTTGAAAATATTGTTCAGTCAGGTGACTGATCTACTCCATATTTGATTCACCTGTAAATTTCTTTCTTAAGTGAAGTTTTAGTCTTTTATTCATCCATATAGAACCATTTTTGTTTGATATAATTTCTATCATATAATATATAATTCCTCATTGATTAGATATAAAGCCTCTAATTTCCCTATAGTGTGTAACTTTTTTTTTTTTAATATATAAGTAAGGTGGTATTTTGAACACTTTAAATATATGTTATAAATGTTTGGAGGATCTAAAGATTTTACCCCTGCCCCTCCCCTTCCCATCCTTATCCTCCGCTGCCCTCCTCTTCTCCCCTCCCCTTCCCTTCCTTTCCCTCTCCCGCACCCTATCCCAAGGAAAACAGTAGACTAGTTATGGAAATTCTTAGGTTAATTAAATTTAGTTTTTATGTTAAATTTTTAGCAAAGTTGCCTAGTATGCTAGGTTAGTCACGATGCTAAACTAAACATATTAATTTGAAAAATTGCAGCATTAGTTAACTGTTTTCCTTGGGAGAGGTGGAGGAAAGACAGACTTCAAATGATTTGAAAGTTTAATACTTACCATTTCCGAGGGCATGATTGAAGGAGCACTTACCTGAAGGTGAGAATGGTGAAAGGTCGATAGGACTTGTGTGAGCGTGGGTCGACCAGAGGCTTGCCCCAGTAGTCGTTCCAGAACACGTGGGAGAGCGAGTTAGTTCCCAACACGTCCGGGTTTGTTTTGATGGCGCTGACGTCGTCGTGCACGAAGTCTCCGGTAAGACCATTAACGTAGACGAGGACTCCTGCTACCCACACCGTCATGTACACCCAGGTGGGCGGAGGGTCCTCGCTCTCGTAGTTCTCTGATCCATTATGGCACCAGGAGGGCGCAGAGCACGACGAAGAGCAAGAACCGGAGGGCGAGGAAGATTTCCTCCTGCGCCGAGGCGAGCAGTGACAAGACGACAGGTGCCCTCCGCCTCCATCCATGATGTTCCAAGATTATTTTTTCGCTGAGACCAAATACCTGTTCCGTGGTACACGTTTTGAGTCCACCGTTGTCGATGATAACACTACCAGTTCATATCTCTTTTCTCTTGGAGTGCCAGCCTGACCAGGGTCACCACACTCCCCGTCATCAGAGGCACTTAAAGCACTAGACACTCACTATTCAGTTTCCTTACATCACTCATTACACGCCATGTCCACTTTCTTACACTCTGTAACTCATCAAATATTTCCTGAAGAGAGTTTGCTATTCACTTTTTGTCCATTTTCTTTGTATTCTGAAAGCTGGCGAGGAATTTAATTACTTACATAATACGGAAAGTAACTACGCCAAAGTAAAAAAAGGCACAGATTAAGAGCAAGAATTTGTGATAATGTTTGGCTCCATGAAGAGTTTATCAATTCATTAATTTGATGAGGCTCTACACAGAGTGAACAGCTGTGTAGAGCTTGTGTAGGGCTGTATTCTGCGCCTGTGTCTTTTCCTCTTTGTTGTGTGCAGTACAAATTTGTATCCAACGACAGCAAAACATAAAGTCTCTGGAGGAGAAGCAGTGCGCGTACAAGATGTACTCAGAACATCTTGTCATGGGTGAATTATTATTATATTCATGGAGATGCACATGAAAGATGGTATCAAATACTAACATGCAAATAAGACATGTGTAGTACTGGGATATGCACCGAGGAGACGTCATGGAACGTTTTTCACTCCGGTACAGAGATGAGAATGTAGGTTACAGGTGGTAACCAGAAGATGGGGTCAGGTACAGCGGTTTGGGGGCTACTAACCGCAGTGTCTTGGCTGGGTACAGTCAATTTTTCTACAGTTTAGAAAGTAATGAAGTTGGCAGTGTTGTGGGGGACAGTGTTGGTACCTGCCATAACTGCCTATTCCAAACCAGCCTAGATGCTGATGAGGGGGTTCTTGTTCCAAGGAACTGGGCTTAGCCTTCCCTTTTATCAAATCTAAATGTTTCCCAGGCGCTGTAGCACCAATAAGGGTTCAGCGTTTAATCACGACTAAAATGAAATGAAAAAAATCACTGATGCTGAGTTTGGTCTCATTAAACCCCATAAAGTGATTGTGAGAATTACGATGAATGAGGCAGGGATTGTTGTAGTCATCTCTGCTGCACATATATTGGCGCTTCCTTACATGCTCCACACGGGAGTACGTATACTGCTGTTTTAGATTCGCCGAGTCTGGTGGCTTTCTTGACTGTCCCCGCCACACTGACCTGAAAGGGTCATTAGCTTCTGGGGAATGGTAGGTAATTAAGCTTGATCCAAAGAGATGGTAGCTTAAAGTGCTTGGATCAAGAAGATACCTCCATCTTGAAAGAGTACCTCCTCTGTGTAAACTCCCAGACACAGCTGTATGATCCGAGCAGGTGAAAAACATGCGAGGCTTGAGAGCTTGAAATCACGGGCAGGCAACGATGAAGCAGCTTACCTGCTGCTCACTTCACTCTGTGCCACAGGATACTCTCAACACGCATCTCATGTTGGCTTGTGACACTCGCTTGACACGCAGAATGACACGCAACATGATGCGCCCTACCCGGGAATGTTAAAAACATTGTGTTGACTAATCTCTTGTGTTCTTGGTCTCGACTACCTTCCAATTGTCTCTTGTCGACATTCTGGAGAGTAGGCTGTAAGCTGCTGGCCTTGATGCTGAAGAGCTCTTGGGCCACGAAATTGGAGATACTTTCCCCTTTCTTTGGATCAAACCTGATTACCTTCCATTTCCCAGGGCTTGAGATGCAAAAATTATCTGCAGCGCAAAACTTTGTTCATAGACAATAGAGTAAGGTTCATGGATTATTTATAGACTTAAGATTTACAGAGTATTTAAGACTATAGTTTATAGACTATTTACTAGTATTTAGACTTCATAGACTCTTGAATATAAATGAAGATTTGTCCCTTCACATTGTTCTTAATAGCATCCACAGGTACCGTATGACCTCTTCGGGTTTAGCGCTTTCCTAAGCATCTAGTATAATGGAGGTGTTGGTTGTTGTGTGACAGTGTCTGGGTTACTTCTTAATGGAGCTGCTGTATTAGACGTCAGAGCAGCAGCCACTTGGAGCTCCGCCAGCTGTCTATTCTCCCCTGCAATTTAACGCTTCAATTCCCTCGTGTTGTTCCCCTTCCCCCTCATGTCCTTCAGCTCTTCTTTCCTGTCTTTCGTTTTCGCATCCTCTCACTTATCATTAAGTTCTTCCTCCTCACTTCTCATCCAGTTCCTCTTCCTCAGTCGTCCTCCAGTACTCTCCCCCTCCTGACTAGAATAGTTGCTGAGAGCGAAATTATTGTTTTAGCTAAACTGGCACAAGAATGTGGGAATTCCTAGGCGTTGTGTTAATAACTAGACGTCTCTCCGTTGCTGCGGGAGCCAAGAAAGATATCCCCGTATTCCGTAAGCTCAGCCCCCTCTCTCTAAAGGCGAGAAAGTTATTCATGCATCACACAAGTCTTTATGCATGAAAAGGACTAGTACAGAGTGCGGCATAAGTTTCTAATGAACTTAAATGCCAGCGTTAAATACCTGAAGTCAGGCAAAAGAGACAATAACAAGTTATAACCCTGATACTAATACCCCAATTTTTTCAAGCAAAAATGGCAAACTGGCTCCATCACACACCAAAAGAAATTCGACCCTTCTGTTGAGAATCACCAGCGCTGAAAGTTCAAAGTCAGCCAGAAGAGGCGCTCTCTGTTTATCGCTCAGAGAGTAATGATCCCAGATACACAGCTGCTGAAACTGCCC